TCTGTTATTACGTGAGCAATGTCTCTTTCCTGTATTTGACTCATCGCTGTTTATAGAAGTAAAGTAGACTTCTCCGGGTGAGAATGTTTAAACATCATTGATGGGAAGTGTTCCCTTTCGAACAATTAGTTCTCTAGTCTGTTTTTCACCAAACTGCTTCTGCGGTAGCAGATGGTTTCCACTCGGAGACTCTGCTCCTCTAGGAAGTCCGGCAAGCGTGGGAAAGAGCAGCGCTTTCTTGGAAAGAGTCTTTTCTGATGTGACGGGCACGGGAAACCCAGCATCCGAGGCACTTAGCCTGGCTGTCAGGACTTGAGATTGTGGACTTGGATGAGGAAGGGCCTAGATTTTCATTTAAAGCGGGTGTGTTTTTGGTCGGATGCCAGATAGCATGTCACTGTAATTTTCTCAAAAGCAACTCTGGTCACACTGGATGTTGGTCAGAGTGCTCTGTACGTGCACCTACAGGAGTGAGATTCTGAAACCCAACCATAGCCTGGAAGTAACATCCGGGAAACTTGTATAAAAAAATAAATACACGTATCGGTATCTTATTAAACAAAATTTTCTAAAATGTTTATGGCTAGGAATATCTTTTCAGAGCTACCACTGCCCGAGATGCCCTGCCCATATGTATTGTGGCTTTAACATTCCCTGTCTGTCTATTCATGGGCCGAATAAAGGCTGGCTGAGGGCGGGAGCCTTGCCCCTGCCCTGTCCTGAAGCGGCCATGCCCAGCACTGTGGGGTACCCGAGTCGCAGTCAGTGAGTGAATGAAGATGTTATGCTTGTGATCAGTTTCCCAAGATAAACCAACCTCCAACATTTTGTAAAACTAATTATTTTTTAATATGGCTGTGTTTAGATTTTAAATTACACCCCAGAGGTGAAAGGCCAGCACATTACTGACAGCCCATTTATCTCACAGGCAGCACCATCCTCTAAATTATTGCCCCAGGGAAGCCCATTGCATTAGGGCAGTAATATCAACATTGTTCATAGATACTAATCTATATTGTGGCAGTCACTCTTCTTGTCGGGCTTAGAAGACACAGTGACTGATACTGGTACCAGCCACTGTTACGTTCACTGAAGTCTGAAGGATTTAAATTACAATTATTAGTGTAACGGTTTATATCTGGCAAAATTTCCAATGAGGTTTAACCTTCTATTAATATAAAAATGTTAATAACATTTAAAAACAGTTAGAAAACTCTTAGTGGTATTGAAATCATATTTGAAAGGAAATCTTATTACCTGTAGCCCTATTAAAAACAATTTGTATATTTTCTTGAAACTTTGGCATTCCACATACTTATATGTGACTTTAATTTTACTTAACCGAACTCTGACTGTTTCTGAAGTATAATTATCACTGTAATATTGCCATTTCTTCTGGATGTTAATCTTTCATGCGTAAGGGAGACTTGGGGACTTTGTCTGATTTAATACCCAAGGACAATTACCAGTATGAATACAAATTAAAGGGCAAAATTGTCCCCAAGCTAAAGTTTAAGAGTATAGTTAGGTGTACAACAGAGCATTTGTCATAGGGAATAAAACAAGCCAAAACCACTAACCATCTGGCAAGAGATCTAATTTTCTCTGAGCCATTTTAATCATTATTCCCTTAGATAAAGATAATTGACTATATAAAGTTTCAGGAATTTCCAAGATTACCCAAATATATATGTAGAAATTACATATCACTTTTCATTTAATGCTGAGGTTATGAGAATAGTTGCAATATAGATAAGACTTGGTAGCAGAGCTGTAATTATACCCACACATCCACTGTAAGTGTGGTGGGGCAGAAATAAAACTAGTCCTAAGTCTGTGTTTTCCCAAGAAGAAGGAAGCAGCTTTCTGCGATGAGCTATGAATTTATAATATAATGAAATACATAGTTTTGGTCATTTAAAAAAGATAACCTTTGCTACTTATTTCTGATTAATTAGTGTCAGTGAAGAAAACTGCACTTCTACATTTACAGTTTATGCTATTTTTGCATCTCAGAATGCCTTGAAGTATGGATAGCCAAGGGAAAAAAATGAAATTTTTTTAAAGAACTAGGGATTTTCAGTCTGAACAAATTTTGAAACTGTGATCTACAGCAGGGAGATCTGACTTCTTCAGCATAATTCCAGATGGAAGGAGGCAGGTCAGTGGAGAGAGGTTATACACACACACAACGTTTTAAGTGGGTTTCAGGGAAACCTTGTTAATAAGTGCCATGATGACTGGCTTGTCATGGGGACACGGAGTGAATGTTCTATCCTAGCCATTTTTAAGCAGAGGTTAAAGCCGTCAGGCATATATTACAAGGGGAGAGGAAAACCTGCACTAAATCCACAATAAATGGCTGTTCAAAATATGAGCATCAGTACATTTAATTTATTCTCTGTTCTTGGTCTCATTTGTGAAGTGAGATGCCTGCTGTGGCGGTAGAGTGTGTGAAGTGCTACATTGATGGTTGAGTGCTGGTGTGAAACAGCAGCACTTTCTTCTTACTTTAATTGCATTTTAAATCTTGGTTAATGTGATTATGTTCACAGAGATGTTCGCGTTCCTTTTTTATGAAGGAAGGAACGCAAAGGGGCCTCGTGCAGAGCAACCATTCATCCCACCGGTGTTATAGCACACCGCCTATGTGCTAGAATCAGGACCAAGAAGCAAAGTATCAGAATTCAGCTCTGCCCTTCTTTCATTCTTTTTATTCTTTCATCTATATAACCTTTCATCTATATAACCTTCATGTATATAACCAAAAGCAAATCATACTCAAATGAGTGTTTAGTAAACACTGCACTTTCCAAGTTGCTTGTGGGTGATTTGAGGCTAATTACAATGTCCTCTTGGCTGTTACCTAGGTTAAGCCACAATGCTTCACAAGGATCACACATTTTTTGTTTTAGGAAGGAGATTAGCAACATACCTATGTTAGTGTGCGCTGCTAAGGATAACTACAGAAGACAGAGTAAATGCAAAATAAGGATAAGTAGAACTATCAAATCAAAGTCCATCATTGCTACTTTGCAGCATGCATCTGATTTCTTACGAGATTATAATAATAATAATATATGTACACTTTTCCATCTTAACTGTTATGATTTTACGAGGCCATGTGTGGAAACGTTCCAGTCCATCTAAAAAGATAGGAGCAGCATTCACCTGCCTGTGTGCTTGACATCCTACAGCTTCACGTGCAGCCTGGGCATTTCCATGTTATAATCTCTAATACATACCTGGGCAAGGAAGTGTCCTCAAAGTTAAAATCTTCCTAAACATTCTATGAATTTTCAATTATTTCTTCTTGAGTGCAACTAACTTGGGCGTGTTGAAAAAACTTTACCGGTCATGGTATATGCGGCCATGTGAGCTATTTCGTGTTTAAAGACTCTTCTTTCTTGCCTTCGTTCTCTATTTAAAAATTGACCTAAAACCAAAATTGCGCAAGGAGACTGACAGATGAAATACATTCCATGCCCTAGAAATACTCAGTAAAATGGAGGCTAACCACAACTCTGACCCCTAACCATGGAAAAACGGCCGTGCAGACCAGAACTCTGAACAGTTCTGCTTTGTCCTCTTTCATCTCTTGAGTTTTTAAGTCGGTTGTCCTGTGTATGGAAGAAAAAGTCTAATAAAGGTCCTCTGTGCCAAGGTCCTCTTGTCAGCTGCTGTTTGGAGGAAGGGCAAGTCTGCCGTCAGTGAGAGGGAGCCACTTGTAATATCAGCAAGGAAATGTTCCACGGAGGATGTGGGGTAAAGTCATCCCTCCAGGGTCAGTGATGCAAGAACTGGAAACGGGAGAGCGGCAATCACAGCACACCTCCCCAGACACCGCTGCTGAATTGGGGTGAACGGCGCAGTGGTTGGCAGTCCTCTGCCTTGCGATCCACTGGATTGATGAGGAAGAGCTGAGTGTGACTTCCAGTCTTCTTTGTAGCAACGCCCCAGGGGGTGTTGAAAGAACTTTGAAGACCTTATTGATTTTTTGCTGGAGCATGTCATGAAGCTATCAAGGTCCTTTCTAGGTAACTCAGAGCTCTAGAACCAGATGAGTGGTTCGTCCTCTTTTCTTTGCTTCGTGGCGCCCTGCGATCCTGTCACCACAGTCAGTCGTCAGAATAGAAATTCCTGAAGTGTGCTAAGCAATGGCACAAGTCCCTCCGTGGGCAGCAAATACTGTGCTTTTAGGTGATCTGTCTCTTAGGAGGGGGCAGTCTCACTCCTGAATGAAAAAGTGGCTGTGACGTTGTCCGTTTGTGACCAGTATGGGTGCAATTAGGCCTGTGTGCAATTGAAGCTACTGTTCTTAAAAACGAAATATTGAACTGAGGCCTTCATTGCACATTCAGAGAACTACCAAGAGAAGGGGTGGATCTGGATTTCAAATATTGTTGATGCTATTGCCTCAGACGTATTCCTTTTATTGGGTCTGTTTTGCAAGCCTAAATTTGAGCCTGAAGAGCTTCTCCATATAAATGTCTTCAGTATTGCGGTGGCGCATCCATCACCGTTTTGCTTTTGAATTACAAAGATAACCTTAAGATATGAGCCTTATACTGGTCAGTGTGCTACATACACAGAAAGGGTGAGCCTCCTTAGTGATGAAATCAGCCGGTGCCCAAGAGGAAAGTAACAGGCAGAAAGGATAGAGTTGATGAAAAAATTGATTCTTTTCCATTAAACTGTACGTGATGTGTTTTATATGAAGCAGGCGTCAGCTGAAAGAGAAATATTTTTTCAACTAAAAAGAGATTGGAGGCAAGGAGAGGAAAAATACGTAAGGGATCAGGGGATAAATACGTGTCTTACTGCATTACCATCTCAAATAATAAAAAAGCTGAAAAGCATTCCATTGGAATTACTTCAGATGTCTACTTGGACCAGGTGTGATTAAAACTTTTTAATGTTAATAATAATAACTGTTTTTTTTTATAGACTTCACACATCATTGCTTTCCCAGCTCTAAAGCTTGTGTTGCTTATTTTCAGGTTTGCCAAAAATGCAGGTCATTAGGAACTATACTGGAACACCACCCCCAGCTCTTCATGAAGGACCCCCGCTACATATCCAGGCAGGGGATACTGTTGAACTTCTGAGAGGAGACGCACACAGTGTGTTTTGGCAGGTACAGTCCAAGTTATTATTTTTCTTTTTAATGGATGACTTATTATAGCACAAAAATAAAAGTTCTGGTCTTTAGAACACTGATTAAATGCTTTCAGATTCAGAGTCTTACATGATGGGGGGGTGTTTTTTATTATTACCCTTCCCCGTATGTAGCATGCCGAAATGGCAATGATCGTTAGAATGCTAAAGAAAAAGTATCAGTGCTGTGAGTCATAATTATCATTTTTATTAAAATTTCATACTTTGCCAGAGCATCTTTTTCTGAATCTAGTACCTGTGGGTATGATCTCATTTGCATGGCTTTAGTATATTAACAATTCACTTCAGGGAAACTACCTAATTAGCTTGCTGGTGGTGCTTTTGGCCATATTTGACTTCTTGCCTACCAACAGTACCTGAAGTTCTCAGAGGTAATCTAGATATTATTCATCAAATAGAAGAAATGTAAAAAAGTAAATGATTATGTTAATTTTGCCGGTGATAAAGTCTCTCTTGACCAGTAAGCCTATAGTTGATTTAAGCATTCTTAAAATGGAGATAAATATGGTATTATGTTAGGATTTGATAAAGCTGAGTAACAAAACACTGCTGTTCATTAAATAATTCTCTATTTTCTAGCATATGTTAGAACTATTTTCCAGAAAAATTAGAAGATTTGTTAAATATCCATTGTGCACTGAGGAAAAAGTAGGTGAAGATCGGCAGAATGATTGGCACATGAATGAGATGGCATGAGGGTAAAAGGGAGAGACAGCACAAGACTGTAGGATACCATGACTTACACACTTTATTTGCTTAGTACTACTGTCCTGTCTGCTGTCTTGTTATGTAAGATGCTCCTGGCTGGAACGTGAATGCCCGACCACCATTTCAACAGCTGGAGCCAAAGACATTTCTAGCGCCTCAACATTGTTCTTATGTGTACTGCTCCTCTCAGACCCCATCTTTCTCTGAAAGAAAGAGAAAGAATAATACTGAATTCTACACTCTCAAATCTGCCGGCCTAACTACAGAGCATGCTTGCATTTCTACTCATAATGTTTCTCTTACTCGAGAGTTGGCTTTATTCTTGAATTTTCCATCCCAAATTTTCAAGTTCATTCTCTACCCTGATGTCTTTCTGTAGCTTATAAATATATTCAAACTGTTCTCATCTTAAAGCACATATAACTCAGCCTTCTTCTGGTTCTGTGAGGATCCCTCATCTCCTCCAAAGCTAAGCTTGTTCAGGAGGTGGTTTGTGCTCAGGTTCTTCCCTCTGATTCACATAGAACCTACTTTTCTGTAGAAACAACTGTTACTGGATCAGTAGTGCCACTTTTTAAAAGCAATTTTGAGATATACAAAAACTTGTTTATATATGCACTATACTGTATGATAAATTTTGACCAGTGTGTATACCAGTGAAGCCATTACTACAATCAAGATAACGAACATCCATCCGTCCCATTTTTCTCTGTCCCATGTTAGCCCTCCCTCTGGCCCTTACCAGTGCCCACACGTCCGACCCTGAGACAGTTGTTCTGCTTTCAGTCTGTGGAGGAGTTTTCCCTGTTTAGAATTTTGTATACTGTGTCAAATAGTATTTATTCTTTTTATGTCTTTCAGTCAACATGATTATCCTACGGTTTAGCCCTGCTGCTGTGTGTAGTGTTAGTTCTTTTTATTGCTGATTATCTAGCCCGATTTGTTTACCCATTAGCTTGTTGATGAACTGCTTGATGCTGTCAGTTTTTGACTACTGCAAATAAAGCTTTTATGAACATTCAGTAAAGTCTTTATATGAACGCATACTTTCATTTTTCTTATGTAAATATTAAGGGGGGAATGAGTGGATCATACCTAGATACACAATTAAATTTTGAGAAATTATCAAACTGTTTTTCAAATTCGCTGCACCATGTTACCTTTCTACCAGCTAAATAGAATTCTAGGTGCTCCATAAGTTTGCCAACACTATGTAATGTCAGTCTTTTTTTTTTTTTTTCATTTTAACAGATACATAGTTGTATCTCTATGGTATTGATTTGCATTTTCCTAACAGCTAATAATGGTGAGCATCTTCACATGCGTATTACCATCCATGTACCTTCAATAGTGAAGTACTTATTCCAGTATTTAATGAAGGTTTTAATAAGTTATATTTTCGTATAATTGAATTTTGAGAGTTTTTATATATTTTGGGTACCTGTCCTTTATCAAATAGGCCATTTCAACATATTTTCTTTTAATCTGTAGCTTGTATTTTTATTCTCATAATAATGCTATACATAGAAGTATTTTTTTTTGGTATGGTCTGATTTGTTAATGGATCATGCTGCAGTTATTATGAGGCATATTCTTGGCTTATTCCTGATATGAAGGGAGAACATTAAGTCCTTTAGTATTAAGTATGATGTTAGCAGTAGTTTAATAGATGGCCTTTATTAACTTCAAGACTTTTCTAGTTCTAGCTTGCTGAGAGTTTTTATCAGTTGATGGTGTTGGATTTTGTCATTTGAAATGATTATTTTTTTAGTTTACTAAATGGTGAATTTAATTGATTCTCATATATTAAAACAATCTTGCTTTCCTGGGATAAGTCCCAGTTGGTAACAACACAATATTATCATGTGTATTACTTCATTTTCTCGCAGTGTGTTTGTCTGGTTTGGATAATAATGTCATACTCAAAGAATGAATTGGATATTATTGCTTTCCTCTTCAGATTTGTGAATGAGATTTTCTAGAATTATTTTCTTCCTGGAAAGTTTCATAGAATTTACTAGAGAAGCTGTCTAGGACTTCAGTTTCCTTGTTAGAAACATTTCTTTAAACTACGAATTCAATGTATTTAGTAAATATAGAGCTATCTAGATTATCTGTTTCTTCTTGAGTGAGTTTTAATAATTGCTGTTTCTCATGGAGTCCATGTATTTTGATTATATTTTCAAACTTAGCAGTCTAAAGTTGCCCATTGTATTCCTTCATTATCCCTTTAACGTCTGTAGTCTCAGTGGTTTTCTTGCTCTCATTCCCGATACTGGTAACGTGTGTCCTTGCGCCTCCGTGCACCCATCTGACTAGGCAGCTGTGAGTTTCATTGATCTGTCCAGGGAATCCGCTTTGCTGGTTGACTGGTTCTATTCTTTTTTTCCTATAGCATGATTTCTGCCTGGATCCTTATTGCTTCTCTTTAGCTCGGGTTTAATTTATTCTTCTTTTTCTATTGTCTTAAAGTTTTCTTTTTTTTCACATTGGTTTCAGTATTGTCCTATCTTTTTCTCATATAGGCAGTAAATTTCTCCATAAATTTCTAAATATACTACTTTTGCTACCTACGAAAATTCTGTCATGTTGTGCTTTCTTTTTTCAGTCAGTGCAAAGTGCTTTGTAATTTCCCTTTCCAAGTATGGTATGTAATTTTTAAACAATTTGACACTTTCCAAACATATCTCTATTCTTAATTTTTAAAATTAAATTTCTTTTTACCTGGTGCATAGAAACATAAAAATTATATATACAATATCTAATTAATATATAAAATTAATATAATTAATTAATAAAAATTAATAAATATTAACATGTGCTGTTTCCATGCATGCTATATTTTGTTTAAATCAGGATAGACATACCTGTTTCCTCATATGTTCTTAATTTCTAATTTAATTCCATAGCATGAGAATATATTTACATGACCTGAATCATTTTAAATTTATTGAGAATTATTTTATGGCCCCAAAAATGTTCTCTGATGATGAATGTTCTGTGTACTTGAAAACTGTGTATCCAACTTAACTTGCTCTTCAGGGGTGGATATTCTGCTAGTGTTACTTAGGGAAAAGCAGTTGATGGTGTTGTTCAAGTGTTCAGGGTCCTGCCTGACCGCTGACATAACCACTTGATCCATCCATCTTCTTATGGTCAAGCATGCAATTCTTGTGTATTAAATCTTCCTTCTCACGCACCCTTCTCCACACATTTAGTCATCTGCTGCTCGCACTGTATCTTCTAAATTGCTCTCATTGTATTTATTTTTCTCTACCTCCACTCTGAGATTTCTGTTGCACGCTATCCTGGGTTACCATCTGCCTGTCTCTTCAGGCACCTTCTAATGGATGTCCCCTCTGGAATTTATCCCCTACAGCCATCTCCCATACCACTTCAAATATAAGAGGTTTGTGTAATTTCTTATTGATGTCTTTCAGTGCCTTCTTTCTCACGACGCTGAATTCGCTTCTCTTATTTCTAATGGAGGTATTTGGCAATTTCAGAATCCTATCTTTTCCTATTTGTCTTGACTTTAGATCTCACCCGTACCTACTATTCCATGGTATTAACTTAGGGCCACTTATGTGAAATTTTGTCTCCTATCCACTCTATTCCCCCTACCCGTTATTAGGAAAAAATCATTTTTATAATAATAACAACAAAAGCAGCAACTGATATTCATTATACATTTTATGTACAAGGTTGAGTTCATGTGATGCTAATGAAAATTTTATAAAATAGACGGTTATTGTTTTCATTTTATATGGGAGCAAACTGGAATAAAATAAAATAAAATTTTCATTTTCTATATGAGGTTTAGTAGCCTCCTCACAGCCACCTAGTAACTTTGCAGAGCAGGGAATTAAACCTAGAAATCCCTGACCCCAAGTCCAAGCTTTTAACTACTATGTTCTACTGAAGCCCCTTCTGTAGTCATGCTATCTGTGGTTCATCTCACACTGCTCTCCTAAAGTTTCTGCTTTTCAAGGATGGGGAGCAGGGCTTTTGTGTTATATAAGGAGGTATGTTTCTTTATGCTAATTAAGGAGCCCAGTTTCATAGGTTTGATTCACCTCCATCAAATTTGTGTTTCAGTTTTGTATTTATGCCATGGGTTGGTAAGATGGTTCTTCAGCACAGCTTGATATTGGCGGGGGTGCTGGAACAGCAGTAAGCTTCAGAATGGCCTCATTTGCGGCACTGGCAGCAGGGCTGCCCTAGTCTGGGAATTCAGCGGACACCGTCTAC